ATAAGAAGAGGAGGGTGGTAGAAGGGAAGGTGGATTGAGGTAGGTAAAAGTAAGAAGCAAAATAGTTTTGGGGATGGATAGGGTGAGAGGAGAGAGTGAAAAGGGTAAATAGGGAGAAAAATAAGATGGAGGGAAATATACAGTAATCATAACCGTGAAAAAAATTTTACAGCATTTCTCTGATAAAAACCTCATTTCTCAAATATGTAGAGAAATGAGTCAGATTTATAAAAAAAAATAAGAGCTGTTCCTCAACTGATAAATGGTCAAAGGATATGAATAGGCAATTTTCAGACTAAGTAATCAAGCTATCTATAATCATATGAAAAAATGCTCTAAATCAGGATTGTTAAATACAAATCAAACATCTCTGAACTATCAAATTGTCCAACATGACAGAAAAGGAAAATAATAAATGGTGGAGTGGATGTGGTAAAATTGAGACACTAATGCACTGTTGGTAAAGTTGTATACTGATTCAACCATTCTGTAGAATAGTTTGGAACAATACCCAAAGGGCTATAAAACCATGCGTATCCTTTGACCAAGTAATACCACTACTGGGCATGTATCCCAAAGAGGCTTTTTAAAAAAGGAAAGGACCTATATGGACAAAAATATTTATAGCAGCCCTTTTAATGGTGGCAAAGAATTGGGAATTAAGGGGATGTCCATCAGCTAGGAAATGTCTGAGCAAGTTGTATATGATTGTGATGGAATACTATTATGCTATAAGAATGAAGAGCAAGATGCTCTTAGAAAAACCTGACAAGAGTTAAATGAACTTATGTAAAGTGAAGTGAGCAGAGCCAGGAGAACATTGTATGCAGTAACAGCAATATTGTATGATGATCAACTGTGAATGACTTAGCTATTCTCAGCAATTGCAATGGTCCAAGACAGTTCTGAAGGACTTATAATGAAAAATGCCAACGACCTCCAGAGAAAGAACTGATCGAATCTGAATGCAGATTTAAGTATACTTTCTCTTTGCTTTCTTTATCTTTCTCGGTTTTTGGGGGTTTTTTTAGGTTTGTGTTTTCTTTCACAACATGACTCGTGGAAATAGGAAAAAAAATCATAGAATGATAGATTGGAACATAGCTTAGAACTCAGAGTCTAACACCATCATTTTACAGGTGAAGAACAGAGAGGTCTAGAATAGTTATGTGACTTGCCCAGGGTCACATTGCTAAAAAATTTCTGAAGCAGCATTTGCACTCAGGTCTCCTTGCCTTTAATATTTCATTCTATCTATGATTCTATAACCAGAACACTACTGTCCATCTGGCAGAAGCTCATCTAAATTCCTAACAACTTCTTGGAAGCCCCAACTTAAAAAAGAGATAGATGGTGATATTCTGGGACAAAGATACTTCCCGATATCGTGTGACCTTCCACGTTGTTCCTTCTTAAGTTTTTTCCTAAGGTTTTGCCAGGCTCTGGTTCCACCATGTCAATAATGCAGATGGTATTTTTGGTTTTTAGGCATTATTGTAATTGGGAAAAGTTTTCATATTTTAGCCTGTCAAGTCAGCAACAAGCAAGCATTTAGTAGTTCCTACTATGTTCCAGGCACTTTGTACCCACTGGGAGCACAAAAAAAAAAAGCAAAAAATAGCCCCTGCTCCCAAGGAGCTCATGGTTTAAAGGGAGAGACAATATGAAAACAACAATGTACAAACAAGATATAGGATAAAGCAGAAGTGATCTTAGAGAGAAAGGCACTAAAGGCTTCTTGCAGAAGTGGGATTTTAGCTGAGGTTTGAAGGAAGCCAGGAGGCAGAGATGAGGAGGACAGAGTTCCAGGCATGGGGGACAGCCAGTAAAAATGTCTACAGGGTCTGCACATGAAATATTTTGTTTGAAAAACAGCGAGGGGGCCAGTGTCACTGACCACAGAGTATGTGTGGGGTGAAATGCATAAGAATACTGAAAGAGTAGGAAAAGGACAGGTTAGGAAGAGTTTTAAATGGCCAAACAGGGAGGAAGGGGGAATTATCTGATCCTGGAAATAATAGGAAGTCACTAGAGTTTAGTGACTAGCGGAGTAACTTGGTCAGGCCTGCACTTTAGGAAGCTGGAGCAGCTGAGTCTCTGGAGAATGGACTGGAGTGGGGAAGTGACTTCAGAGTCTGAAAAAGAGTTGTGGACCCAGCAGAATACATTACCACAAATACCAGATGGGTTTTTCCATACATGAGACTTGTGGTGCCAAGATTGAGAGACAGTAAATACTACCATTTGGGAAATGAGACAGAATGATGCTTTATCTGTAAGTGGCCACAGGGCATACATTTTCTTCTCCTTTCTTTCTTTTTTCATTTTTTTTTCTTTTGGAGGCAATCGGGGTAAGTGACTTGCCCAGGGCCACACAGCTAGTGAGTATCTGAGGCCAGCTTTGAACTCAGGTCTTCCTGACTCCAGGGCTTGTGCTCTATCCACTGTGCCACCTAGCTGCCCCACATATTTTTTTTATGTTCCATAGATCCTTGATCTCCATGAAGTCCTACTCTGGTGCCAACTTCATAGGATAGAAGTGAGTGGGTGGTTTTGAAAACTTTGCCAATCTTGCTGCTCTTACCAAGCTGGAAACATTTTAGTTTATTAACCTAGAAAAGTATGTCATGCCTTAGACAAGACTCAAATATGGTTGGATAAACATCACTAAGCAGATGATGGAATTTTTTCAACTTAATAAAAGATAAAAATTAACAATAGCTCTTAGGGTTCAGCAGATTCCTGCTATCTGGCAGTTGGTGAAGTGTTTGAATTGTGACCATTATGGAACTTTTGAAGTTTTAAAATGATGATGTATGGAACCATGAGCATGATTTCCTTTAAGGCTGAGTTATAGATGAGGAGGTGGGTCAGAATAAATAGGTTTATGGATAATAATGTATAGTCACTGTTAGTGAAAACTGTGTGATCTTCTGGATTGCTGCTTTGTAGGTTGGGTTTCTTCTAGGGAAATGATTCTAACTCTATGAAGGAGGAGATCCTGTAGAGTCCAGGTCAAAGAAGAATTCCGTGTGGATGGGGTCTTCCAAATGTTCCTGTTTATGGGCAATGTACTGATCTCATCAAGCTATAGAACATTGCAAAGCCCCTTGGAAGAGATCTATAATCATGCAAAGGAGATTGTCCTATCTATCCACTCAGGAAAGACCAAGTGGATGAGGAATATCTATTGATCAGATTTCAACATACATATGAATGGACTCACTATAGTTTTGTCCAACAGTATGTCTATATGGAACAGTCCAGACAGTGCAGATGGACAATGAATTTGTACCCAGGGTTTGACAGGAGGAAAAGCATAGGCTGGATTGCTTTTAGGAAATTGCAAAACTCTTTTGCTGACCCCAATTTTCCCATCACAGCAGTTTTACCAGTACTACTATAGGATGATGATATATGGACCACCACTTCCTCCAAAGAACTAAAAATGATTATCACATCTATGTGATGTAATGGCAATGTAGCAGCACATGGTGAGTGTGAACAGCTGCAACATAGTACCCTAGAGGAACTATGAAAAACAGGAGTAAAGGACATGATTAAGAAATTATATGGTAGGAAGAGAAGATGGGCCTGGTCACATGGCAAGAGCAAGAGATGGGTGCATAGACAGGCACTGGCGTTTTCTCAATGTTGGAAGAAATAGAGGAAGAATTCCAGAAATTTGGGTGGACTCTTGTAGGGAACTTTTGAAAGTAGCGGGATAAAGAAAAGATGGATGGGTATAAATGGGTTATGTTCTGTATCAAGGAAGGGAATTCCTGAATTGATGGGATCATAGATCCATTTGAATATTTACATATGGGTAATACCATATCCGAAGACTTGGTATTTCATCAAGGTTTATGGAGAGGAGGCAGGAGTGTACCGGAGCCAGCTCAAATCAGCTTGCAAGCCTATTGTTAAACTTTCATTTTGAACATTTACCCCTCAGAAACTGGCAAATGCTACAAATCAGGGTTTTATTGTTTTTGTTGATTTCCAGACTTTAAAAAGTGATAGAGACAATTCTAATCATGCAGATTAAACTTGAAACTATATCATGCATACTTTTTTTTTGACAGTTGGCTGTTGGATATTTTCCAGCACACCTCTGATTTCGGGAGTCTGCTCATGAAACAAGGTTTCTGCTTTGAGATACATTCGTTTTGAATACAGTTTGTTTGACACAGGGGTGGGGAGCCTGCGGCCTCCAGGCTGCATGTGGCCCTCTAAGTCCTCAAGTGTGGCCCTTTGACTGAATCCAAACTTCATGAAATTTTGATTCTGTCAAAGGGCTGCACTTGAGGACCTAGAGAGACACTTGCAGCCTCAAGGCCGCAGGTTCCCCACCCCTGCAGAGACTAGACAAAAGCATGAGAGGTAGGGAAGAACATGACATTTTTCTTTTCTTTTTCTTTTTTTCCCCCCACTTAATATTATGTTATTTTTTCCAATTACATGTAAAGATCGTTTTCCAACATTCACTTTTATAAGATTTTGAGTTCCACATTTTTTCCTCCCTCCCTCCCTCCATTCTCCCTCCCCAAGACAGCAAGCAATCTGGTATAGGCTATACATGCATAATCATATTAAACATATTTCCACAGTAGCCAAAACAGGAAGTTTTTCTCACTGACTACCTAAGGCAGTCCTCAATTGGCTCTCTCCTGATTTAAAAGATAGCTTTACCCTCAACTTATCCAACTACATTTTTTAAAAAAGTGAGCTACAAAATAAAATACAAATTTCAAATATACACAGAGAGTCAATACTTTTCAAAGTAGAAAAGTTAGCCATTTAATTTACTTTTTGCCTCAACTAAATTCTCTCTAGCAGAGACCTGAAAAATACTGGATGTCCCGTTGACTAGTCCTCTCTGTTGCTGTACTCTCTCATGAGCTTTGTGCCCATGAGTGACTGTTGGCTTCTAAATGTGGCTCTCTGCCCTGGCTGGCAATATTTGTCAATTAAAAAGCTGAGCCTCTTTGTCTTTTCAGAAACAGAGGATGGCATACAGGTTCGACATTTCAGGAGCACAGGGGTCCTCACATATTCTGAGTGTGAAGATGGTGAACAGTCTGCTAAATGGTATGAGGGCATTTGTGAAGTGTAACACATTTCTGGGAGAATAAACGTACAGCTTTTGGTCTGGGGTGTTTGAAGGACAAATATGATACCCATGTCCTCTTCCTTAGGACTAGGTGGAGGGGTTGGTATAGCTAGTAGTTGCACCACACAAGGGTGTTTCATTCTGTGAACATGGGAACAGTCATTTGGGATCCAGGAGGCATAGATCAAACAGATTGGATAACTAACTAGAGGAGATCAGTTGACCACTTTGAGGAGCAGAAGAGACTTTCATTCTCCTTAGGAGAATCTGTTTTGACGTATCATTTTTTATTCTTTCTTGAGGGATGGAACTAATGATGGTCTGCATGATTTCAGTAGGAATAGTTGTTCCATTAAAACTTTGATATACTCAAAAAACCAAGGATTCTGCTTACTTTGCCCAGGCTTGAGGTTGATGATGGATTTGGACATGACCTTGTGATTGGAATTCATTGACAATTTTGGCAAGTGATGATTATTCAAGCGAGCTGTGGCATTGGTTTGGAGGTCTAGAACAACTTCGGACTTGTGGTTACAGTTGACTGGAGGTGTGATGGCCTGGTGATCAGAGCCAGATTGATTTGGGTTCCAGGGAACTGAGCTCAGTGAAGATCCTGCCCCATCAGCCTGACCCATGTGACTTGTGGCCTGATGGGCTATTCTTGGTGGCATTTTTTCCCTGGACTTTGGTTCAGTTTGACATGGAACATAGGCATTGGAACTCTGTGTAGGCTCCATTTGCTGGTCAGGGATGAATTTGCTTGTGTTCTGGAGATTGGGGCCAGATGGAATTTTGTCCTGGGAGTCTAAACTTAGTAAAGCTATTTCCCCGTTGTGTCCTGGTGGTGGTCTATTCTTGATGGCATTGTTTCCCAATACTCTTGTTCCATTTGAAGTAAGACATGGGCAGTGGGCCTTTGTATATCTCCTACCTGCTGGTCAGGATGGAACATATTTGTGTCTTCGTAATTGGAGCCAGGTAAAGTTATGTTCTGGGAGTCTAAGCTTACTGGAAATAATGCCTTATTATTTTATGCTTTAAGAGTTGTAGTCTGGTTATCCATTCTAGGCGAAATTATTTCTCTGGGCTCTGGGTCAGTTTGAAATGAGATATGGGCAACTGGGCTTTGTGTATCCTCTGCCTGCTTATAGAGGCTAGGTGAAGGTATGGCCTGGGTCCAGGGTCAGCAAGAGCTTTATTCTGGTCTAAACCCACAAGAGGTGTTTCCTCGTGATCCAAGTCTGTCTGTGCTTTGGCCTGGGGAATCTTTTCTTTTTGTCATTGTTTTCCAAGAGTCTTGTCCTGTTTGAGTTGAGGCATGGACATTAGATGCTGGTGTATCCTCAGACTGATGGTCAGGGCTGGGTAAACATGTGAGGTGAGAGACCAGGTTGTATTTTATCCTGCTCTAAACCCCATGGAGGTGTTACCTCAGGATCCTGGTCTGATGGAGTTGTAGCATGCTGGCCTTTTCCTGTTGGTGGTGTTTCCAAGGGCTCTTGTACCATTCAAGGACAGACATGAATATCAGAATCTAGGGTATCCTCAGCTGAGTGTTCAGGGTTGGTTTGAGGTATGGCCTGGTGGTGAAGGAATGGTAGAGTTTGATCCTGTAGGCCTAAGGCCAATGGGGGTATTGCCTGGCTTGTGAGAGTTATGGCCTTGGGTCCTATTCCTTGTGGTATATTGACTTCCAGTGGTCTTGTTCTGACTGAGGTAAGAGCATTACTTTAGGATATTGCATATCCTCAAGTTGGCAGTAAGGACTGGGTGAACATATGTCCCAGTGGTCAAGGCCAGCTTGAGTTGTTTCTTGGTTATCGAGCCCCAAGAAAGGAGGTGAGTCCAAGAAATCCTCAACCATTAGATTTGTATGACTCAGGTTTTTGTTCTGTGATATTGTTTCCCAGTTAAAATCTGCCTGAAGTGTGACATGGACGTTGCGGTCTATGATCATCTTATCCAGTTGGTTAAGACTATAATGAGATATGGCCCAGTAGTCAAGGTCTGTAGGACTTGTGTCCTTGGGGTCTAAACCCATTAAGGGTATTGTCCCATGACTCTGGCCTACTAACATTGTGGGTTGGTGGTGTGTTTTCTGTGCCATTTCTCCCAAGGAGTCCTGTTTTCCTTGAATTGTGAGCTGGACATTTGGATCTGGTATATTCTCAGCCTGGTGGTCAGAGCTGGATGGAGATGTGGCCTGGTGACCAATGCTAGGTGAAAGTGTGTCCTTGGTACCTAAGACCAGTAAAGGTGTCTTTACCCCATGATCTCAGTCTGTTAGAGTTGTGGCTTGCTTGCCAGTTTTTGGTGGCATTGTTTGCCAGAGTTCTTGATTTGTTTGAACCGAGATTTCAAGAAAGTGGTCTTGAATAGCTTGGTTTGGGTGATAAGGGCTTGTTAGAACCATGGCCCACTGAGCAGGCTCAGACAAGGTTTTGTTTGTGGGCCTAAGGCTAGTAGGGGTGTTATCCCATGGTCCTGGCCTGATGGCCTATAACCCAGTCATCAGAGGCAAGGAAAAATTTATCCTGGGGATCTAAGTTGAAAGGAGGAGTTGCCTCTAAGACCCTGGGCTATTGATAATGTGGTTTGGTGGTATGTTTCCACTAGTTGTCTTTGAAATGTGTATTGGATATCTAGTACTGTTAAATCCTCAGTCTGATGGTCAGGGCTGGGTGGAGATGTAGCCTGATGGTCAAGACCAGGTTGAAGTATGTCTTTGGAGTCTGAGCCATGATCCTGGCCCATTAGAGCTGTAGCTGTTGGTCTGTTTTCAGCATTATTTCCCAGGGCTCATGTTCTTTTTGAACTGAAACACAGGCAAAGTAGTCTTCGGTCTCTTTGGCCAAGTGGTGAGGACTTGTTAGAGATGTAGCCTGTTGACCTGGTTCTGGTAGTATTATTTTCTGTGGGCCTAAGGCCACTGGAGGTATTGCCCCAGGATCCTGGGCAGTCAGTGTTATAACTTAGTAGTCAGGGCCAGGTACAGTTTTGTCCTGAGGGTCTAAATCTAATGGCCTACAATCCCGACCTGTGAAAAATATGGCCCGGTCTAGGTCTGTTTTTTGGTCCATTTCCCTCAAGTGCTCTTGCCCTGCTTGAAGTGTGACAGGAGGACTAATATCTACTATATTTCCAGTTCCTTGGTAGTCTAGGCTCTGTGTGGGTGTGGGATGGTGGTTGAAGCCAAAGAGTCTCATGTTGGAATTTAAGCCCAGTGGAGGTGTTATCCCATGATCTGAGCCTATAAGTGCTGTGGCCTGATGGTCTATTCTTGATGACATTATTTGCCAACTCTCTTGTTCTGTCTGAACTGAGGCATGGGTGACAGGCCCTTTGTTTGTTTGAACTGAGACATGGACAAAGAGGCATTGTATAATAGCTTCATCCTGGTGAGGAGGGCTTGGTGTAAGTTTGACCCACTGGTCAGGTCAAGTATCTTGTAGGACTGAGGGTGGATATGTTGTCTTGTGAGGTTTGCCTGCTGGGATTATAGCCTGGTGTTCTATTTTCTCTGCCATTTTTTCCTGTTAGTCTTGTTCTGTTTGAAGTGTGAAATAGATATTTGAGTCTGGCAAATCTTTAGCCTCAGAGACAGATGTTGGTGTGGTCCAGTGTTCTGGGCTATGCTGATTAAGGAGAGGTATTGCTTCATGATCTTGGCCTGCTACAGTTGTGGCCTGGTCATCTGTCCTTGGTGGTGTTGCTTCTTCCCAGGGCTCTACCTCCATTGGAAGGGTTACTTGAGCAGTGAGTGCTTGTATATCATCAGCCTGATGGCCAGAATTGGGTACAGTTGTAATCCTGGTCTTCTGATCATGATGTAATGAGGGTGGAATTAGGGATTTGGACTCAGGGTTAGTGCATCCTATCAGTGATACTATATTCCTGGGGCAGAGGTCAGAATGTGATTTTTTCAACACTTTGGCCAGGTCTGATGGTTTTAAAGCCTTGGCCCAAGACCAATCTTTAAGACAGAGGGAAGAGGTTGAGAGTGTAGGTCTGTCTCCCTTCCTGGTAACTCCTAACAACATAGTTGCAACCCTAACCTTGTTTTTTCTGTGCCTCAGGAAGCTTTAGTCTGTTGTGTAGTGTTCTAGCCTTACCCAGGTGTTGCTCCTGTCTGGGAATCTAAGTGGGGATCTGCATATAGGTCCTAGCCTGGTCTTCTCACCTTCACATGATGGAACTTCAGCCTTGTTGTCAGGAGTTGTTGAAGATGAAGCCTTTTGATTAAGGCGTGTGATGTCCTCAATTCGATTTTTGTAGCCTGGGAAAATGTTAGGAAGGTGGTCAGGGCCTGAGTGATCCAAAGACTGGTAGCCAGGGTCCAATAGACATTTAGGCTGGTTTTTATGACCTGGTAAAAGCATCAGACATTGTTCAGCAGCTGTTAACTTCAGAGCAGTTTTCTTGGCCCTGAAGGTAGACCTAGGAAAAGGCATGACTGTGGCCAAGGCACAGTATTTATGGTGGGGGAATGATTTAGTCAGACCTCAGTGGTGAAGACTGGACAGTAGGACAGCCATTGTCTTGTGATCAGTGTGGGACAGATGGGAAGATATGACCAAATGTCTAAGTAACTGTGTTGAGGATGCTCTCTCAGAATCCCTGAGGAAAGTACTGGCTGACGATGTTTCAGTGAGCCTGGCCTGGTAGCTGAGGTGGGGCACCTGCTCAGCCCTGGACTTATAGCTTTGTTCCCACAGAGGGGAAATCCAGTGTGAGAGACAAGGTAATGGCACTGATGGCATCTTGTTTTGGAGGCTTTTCCGAGGGAAATGAACCAGTTCTGTTGGTAAAGAAGATAATGGGTATAATAGGATACTCTACACACACTATGTTGTACGGGAAAAGCAATTAGGTGTCCAAGCAGTTGACAAATTGATATATCTAAAGCACAAATTTGACCAAAATAATTCCCCTGCTCAAGAAGCTCTAATAATTTCCTTACTGTCCTAAGATAACACACATATGCTTTTCTCTTTGTCATTTAAAGTGTTTCATAACCTGGGTGATTTCCTGTTACTCCCCCCTGCCCTCCATCCTCATCATACTCTACTTCCCAGCCAAGATGATTGTCATTTGTTCTGGTGCATGTCTCCCAGGACTCTCATGCCTCTTGGAAGTCTGTGCTCTCTGCCTGGAATGTTTCCCTTTGGATCTCCAACTCTTACTGTAGTCCCTGACTCCATTTAAGGCTTAGCTCATCTACTACTTTCTGACCAGATTCTCCCATTTATTCATGTTCCCCCCCTTATCTACCCTCTCTTCCCCAGCCCCTACCCAGTCTTCTGGAAATTCCATTGTTTTTACCTTACATATATTTTATATTTCCTTAACAGTATACATGTGGCTGTTTCATTATCATTGTGGTCCCCATTTTGGGATAGAGTTGTTCTAGCCTTATCTTACCACCAACAGCAATAGAATGGGTAAAATTAGCCCAGTAGCTCTCTCTCTCTCTCTCTCTCTCTCTCTCTCTCTCTCTCTCTCTCTCTCTGTCTCTCTCTCTGTCTCTCTCTCTGTCTCTCTGTCTCTCTGTCTCTCTCTGTCTCTCTGTTTCTCTCTCTCTCTCTCTGTCTCTCTCTCTGTCTCTCTCTCTGTCTCTGTCTCTCTCTCTGTCTCTCTCTCTCTCTCTCTCTCTGTCTCTCTCTCTCTGTCTCTCTCTCTGTCTCTGTCTCTGTTTCTCTCTCTCTCTGTCTCTCTCTGTCTGTCTCTCTCTGTCTGTCTCTCTCTCTGTCTCTGTCTCTCCCTCTCTCTGTCTCTGTCTCTGTCTCTGTCTCTCTCTCTCTCTCTCTCTCTCTCTCTCTCTCTCTCTCTCTCTCTGTGTGTGTGTGTGTGTGTGTGTGTGTGTGTGTCTCCTTGCTTTCCAGGCCTTCCGAACCTTTTCTAAGAGTCAAACCCCATCCTATTCCATTCCATCCCTCCTCAGCCAAGGTTGGCCTCCTCCCAGTAATATCTCCTCTAAGGAAAAGATCCAAGAAACTACTTGCGTGAGTATATAAACTCACTGAGAAAAGGAAAGAGTTATCCCTTTTTCAGGGAACATTTTTAAAGCTTCAAGGCAGAGATTTCTCATTTAACCCCCTGTGATGTCAGGTGGCATTTTTCTCTTTTCCCAGCGTCCTAGGAATCAGGTTCCCCAGAGTCAGAGGAAATTTTGAGGCTCACACCCTCATATCACCAAAGGAGTTTTCTCGCATGTATTCGTACTCTTATTTCCCAGTGATGGATACATTTTATTTTGAAGCTGTGGAGAATTTTGGGATGCCCTTCTCAGGAAATCAGAAACTGTTTTGATTCTGAAACAAGTAGAGCTAAGACGGGCAGGACTGGGTTATCCAGACCTCTTCAAAACCCCTCTTTTCTTCTCTTAATCATCCAGTGATCCCATACTCCATTCATCCCTCATCCCTCCCTCCCTCAGCAATTTTCACCAATAGACTATGCAAGGAGAACAGGAAGAAGGGTTTTTCAAATGCCCTAATACCAATGGACTCGAGAGTTCAAAGTTTCTCTAATTTACAGAGCTTTAAGAACAAATATGCCCAAGAAAATAAAAATAAGCTATTCAAGAAAAAACAAACAAACAAAAAGACATTCTCCTGAGAAGGTTGGATCCCAAGAGGCAGAGAAAACTAGATGGACAGTGTTCTTAGATGCCCATAGCAGGACTTAATACTATGGTCCCAACTGCTCCGGGGACCAGAGGGCCAGACATCTCAAAACGGGTAAGTGTCTGTCATCCACATCTCCATATTTTCAGGTCAGAGTGATTTAAGATACCTTTCCATTGGCAGGCTCCTCCAGGGACACAAAACACAAAAAGTTTCATCTTCTGACTCCATGAAAAATAAAAATGGAATTTCATGTTTGTCCTTAGTGGCCCCATCATGTCCATTCATTAAGAGTCAGTATTTCGTTGAATAAGAGCAAAAAAGTATAAGTAGTCCTGTCCCTTTTGTTATCATAACTATTATAGTAAACTGTGTGGACAGGAAGTGAGTGTTTTTTTCCCTTATTTTGCTTGATGTCGCACTAACTCAGTGCCTTGCACAAAACTATTTGGTTATATTTTATGTGAATAAAGGATTAAAATAGCTATGTTTCCCTTTTAGTGTGAAATAGAATCTATCCTTGGTTCAGGGGGACATAAGTCAGACCTTGAGGGTCTGATTCAAAACAAAAATTTTTCTCTCTGGGTGTGAAGAAAGTTTAGCGAAGGAAATCTACCACCTAACCTAAGTAGTTCTGATATAAGGTTGCCACAATAGTAGCTAGCATTTGTATAGCACTTTACAGGTTTGCAAAGCACATTATGACACATACTCAGAAAGAGTACCATAGGACCGAGATTTTTTTTTTACCAAGATCTTACCAGTAAGAATTTTCAAGGTGAGCAGGATATCTCAAATGTTCTAATACTCAGCAATTTTTGCCAGCCCAATTCTTGTTTGTGACTTTTGTTGATTACAAGCTTCCTCATGGTAAAATGCCTTTAGGGACAAGACCCACAACAAATATAAAGTAAATAAAAGCAAAATCTAGTTTTTTCAGAAAGATAAGCACTCTTTCCCAAAGAGGATGGTGTCATGGGATTCAGTAAAAGCTAAATGTGTGTTTCCTCCCATCTAGTGTTTGGTGTGTTTATCCCAGATAGAGGATCTGAGGGGGCCCTAATATCACAAAGCATCAGTTTCCCCCTTGTCCTCCTTCACTCAAGCTGCCCCACCCCACTTCCAGGGGACCAGGCAGGGACTGAACAGGCAGGCATACTCAGAGACATCTATGATGGTGTCCCATGGAGCCATGCTGGTACACTGAGAGCAAGCAGTCCACCTTTAAACTGGATTAAATACTTTAGTTTCCTTGGTTCTCATCAATTACATGCCTTCCATCTCCCAAATCCACAGGGCAGAAGCCTAGAGGCCAATGACAAAAGTTCCCTGAGAGTGCTGGAAGGAAAAAAAAACTCTTGTTGGGGCCCTCCAAGGCATCCTTGTACCGAATGATACAATCACCAGTGCTTAGCATGCAATGGACAGTTATGTGAAAATTATATCACCCGTTGTGGTGAACAAACACCCAGATCTGGTGGGTGACTATGCTCCAGGGGGAAAAAAAGACATTCCTTGACATTCTGTGATATTCCAGGTTGCTGCTTCCCTGGATGAATTTCTTCTAAGAGAAGTGATTCTGATTTTAATCAGAAATCTTTAAACGGGTTTTGGTTCTGCTACATCAATAAAGAATTTTTTTTTTGTATTTTAGGCATTATTAGCCAGATGTATATCAGCACCGTATTAAGCACCTACTGTGTGCCAGGCACTGTGATGCGTAGGATGAGGGATACAAAAACAAAAGCTTACATTCATTGGGTAAAATAAATACAAAGTATCTAGAGTCTAAAGAAAAGGTAAATTTTGTTGGGGAGGCACTTGCAGCTGGGTTTGGGTGAGGAGGATGGATCAGAGAGGCTTCATGGAGAAGAAGGCAGTGCTTGGGCTTGAGAACCAGAGGTGGGATGGAAGAGTATTCCAAGCTTGTGCAAAGAGGCTGAGGTGGCAGGTGGAATGCCAAGTGTGAGGGAGAGTAAGGGGGCCAGTTCTGCTGGACTACATAGTAAACAAAACAGATGTTAGGGGCTGAAAAGGTAGGTTGGGTCCACAAAGAGTTACAGACTCTGTATCCTTGGTTTTTATACTCAGGATCACGTTGGAGCTGATGATTTTTCTACAAATGATACATACAGCGTGAAGACTGAGAAGATAGTAGATACTGCCATTTTGTAAATTTAGATCCACACGGCTACAAAGATTTCATATTTTCTATTTCCCCGATGACAAAGCCTCCAGTAAAATCCTACTCTCGTGTCACATCAGGGAGTTGAGTGTAGATTTGGAAAGCTATGCTAGATTTGGCCAGTCCTACCAAACTGGAAGGGACAGCTAGGTGGCACCATAGTGCACAGAGCACTTGGCCTGGAGTCAGGAAGGCTCATCTTCCTGAGTTCAAATATGGCCTCAGACACTTACTAGATGTGTGACCCTCAGCAAATCACATAACCCTGTTTGCTTCAGTTTCCTCATCTGTAAAATGAGCTGAAGTAGGAAATGGCAAGCCACTCCAGTATCTTTGCCAAGAATACCCCAGATGGGGTCATGAAGAGTCAGACATGACTGAAAAAAACCACTAAACCGAACTGGAAAGACTTCAACAATTGTGCCTAGATAAATGTGCTATGCTCATCAGTGGTTAGAGGGACATCACCAGAAGAGAGAAAACCAGACAATGAATTTTTTTAACCTTAATAAAAGGTAAGGATGATCAACTAATTCAGGTTTCACAAATTTTTAAACTATATTGGATGTTCCCAGAAACCAGATCACATTCTACCAACTTCCCTCTGGGCAAACTTCTAAGTCTTTCTACTTGCACTTGTATTCCCAGTGTTTAGCACGGTGCCCAACACATAGTAAGTGCTTTTAAAATGCCCGTTGACTGACTGAAGTCTATTTTGTCTTCCTCACTTACAGGACACTTCCACCAGGTCCTGGCTGCCAGACTGAAGTTCCAAGAGGCTTTGATCATCAGCATAAGACTGAATTGAACTTTGATCAGGTTCTATCTAGGCTCTAACAATAAATCTTACCTTTATTTCCCCCTCAGTGGTATATGATTTAATGTTATTTAAACACCATGGAACTTTTCTGTCTCTCCCTCTGTCTCCCCCCCCCCCCCAGGCGAATTCTGTTGTTGGACTGTAGCTCAAACTTGACTGATCTCAGTGAGTGGCTCAGTTGGACCTTACACTGGTGGCCATGACTTGCTTCTTGAAACCTCTGTCTGTTAACTAGTGACAAAATCATGGACCTTTTGAAATATGGAACTGCCGAACCAAGAATACAATTTCCTTTGAAGTTGGTGTATGGGTATGTTGAGATTTAGATGTTTGGGGTGCTGGGACCCCAAAATCAAGACATGCGGGTCCTGCCTGAAAGAATTCGACCCTGTCCTGCTACAAATACTATAAGAAATAAGATGAAGGCTCCAAATATACTCAGGGAGTCAGTCAATTGCTTTCAAAGAGAAAAAGATGGTAATTTAATGTCCCTTTTGCTTTATTTGAAATACCTTTAGAAGAGATCTGAAAAGTGCCCTACACAAGGAGAGTGGCCTCTGGATGAGTTTCTCCCCATTGACTATTAATCCTTACTAAGTTCAAATTGAAGCCATTTTCCCCTTGCTAGTGAAGGGTGGCACAGATAGTGAAGAAGAATGTGGTGGATAGCCTGATGAATAATATAAGGGCCTATGGGATTTGTTCTGTTGTTTGTAAGTAGGAAATTTGGCCTTGGGCACTTGAGGAACAAATTTCATGCCCAGCTCCTCCTTAGGACCAGGCAGAGGGGTTGGTATGGCCAAAAGTTGGGCCACACAAGGGCGTTTCATCTCCTGAATGTGGGAACAGCCATTTGGTATCCAGGACGCACACATTAAACAGACTGGATAAGCCATTAAAAGTCGTCGGCCTTTACGAAAAAGGGTAGACACCCTCATCCTCCGCAGGAGAATCTGTTTACAGATGTCGTTTTTAATTTTCTGCTGAGGGATGGAATTGATGATTGTTTGAGTGATTCTAGCAGGGACAAATCCCCCCTCTACGTTATATGGCTTGATGTAATTTAAGCGCCATGGAATTCTTCTGTTTCTCATTGTCTGGGTCTGGGATTGGAACCTAGTCTGAACCTGATCTTGATGCATAGAGCTCACTTCAGCCTTAGTCTGATAGCTTTGGCCTTTTGAAAGCTCAACCTGGTGACCAGCTCCCAGTGAGGTGTGACCCTGCAGCTGGGACTTGGTGAAGCCCTATGGGTAAGTTTGTTGTGGACCTTTCTAGAATGGGATGTGGGTTCAGCTTGTTTTTCAGAGCTGCGTGGAAGAGACACTTCGGGCGTGGGTGTGGATAGAGGAGTCACTTTGTGGTCTAAATCCACTGATAATATTTGGAAGTGGTGTTGGCTTGGTGTGGCTTGGGTTTGGGAGTCTGGGGCGTTCTCCACCTTGTGGTCAGGACTAGTTAAAGGTATGTCAAGGTACTTGGGAACATTTAGATTTGTGTCCTGGGGATCCAAACTCAGGGGAATTGTTGCTCCTTCATTATGGCCTGTTAGAATTGTAGCCTGATGAGTTCTCCCTTCACTCATCACCCGAACTCTGGTTCAGTTGGAAGTGAGGGATGGATAATGAGGACTTGTGTATCTTCATTCTGTTTGTTGGGGCTGGGTGGAAGTGTGGCTTCAGGTGTAGGGTCAAGTGGGATTGAGTACTGGGAGTCTGATGATTGGGCGGATTGATGATTCTGGACCGCTGGGGCTATGCCCTGGTGGGTTGCCATTGTTTCTGGATCTTGCTGTTCAGTTTGAAGCAAGACCTGGGCAAAAGGACCTGTGGAGTCTTCAGGCTGTTTATCAGGGCTGGTGGGAGATATGCTTTGGTGGTTGATGCCAGATAAGGTATTGCCCTTCCAGTCTAAGTTCACTGGAGGCCTTGTGCAACCTTGGTTTGACAGAGTTGTGTCCTGGTGGTCAGTTCTAAGAGGTGCCATTTCCCAGGGCTCTTGTTCCATTTGAAGAGACACATGGCTAATGGGGTCTGCTATAATCTCATCCCAGTGTTCAAGGTTGGTTTGGAGTGTGGTCTGGGGGTCAGAGGGAGGTAGAATTTTATCCTGTGGGCCTGAGGTCAAAGGAGGTATGCTTGCCCTATGATCTTGATCTGACGATGTTGTAGCCTTATGGTCACTTCCCTGTAGTATTGTTTTCCAACATTTTTCTCTTTGAGGAGAGGTTAGAGTATTAGAATCTGGTCTATATGCAGTCTGGTGATTATGGTGGGGTGGAGGGGTGTCCCCCCAGTGGGCAGAGTCACTTAGTGTTATCTCTTGGGTGCCTATGCTCAGGGAAAGAGGTGATTCCCAGAAATCCCAATCAATTGGTTCCATAAGCTGCTGTTCTATTCCCTGTGATATTGTTCCCCAGTGGTTTAGACCTGCTAGAAATAAAACATGGGCATTGTGGTCCAGTATGTCCTTGTCCTGGTGGTCAGGACTTGCTGGAACTGGCAACTGGTTTTCAGGGCCAGGAGCAATGTTGTCTTGGTTGCTTAAGCCCATTACAGGCATTTCCTCATCTTCCCAGACTGTCAAAATTGTGTCGAGGCTGTCTGGTTTTGGTGACACTGTTTCTAGTTTTTCTTGATCTATTTGAATTGAGAAATGGACCGTGGAGCTTGGTGTTGTTTCCTCATCCTTATGCTCCATTCTGAGTGGCAGTGTGGCCAGCGGATCAAGGCCAGTTTGAGTTTTGTCCTCCTGGTCTAAGCCCAGAGGTCTTGATCTAGGGTCCTGGTCTATTAAAATGATGGCCTTTGGTGGCTTTGCTTCCCAGGGCTTTTGTTCCGTGAAGTCTTGTATGTCCTCATCTTGCTGGTCAGGTCCAGATGATGATGTGGACCCACAATCCAGGCCTCTTAGAGGCTTTTCCTGCTGATCTAATCTCAATGCCCCAGGATCTTGGCCTGTTAAAATCACGGCCTGCTTATCAATTGTATGTGACATTTTTTCATCATCTTTTAGTCCTGCTGGAAGTGTCTGGATGTTTGGGTTTGGAATATCCTCAGTTTTAGCTTGGTCCAGGTCAGGGATGAATGGAGGGGTCACCTGGCCGTCAGAGCCAGGTAGAATTGTGTCCTTGGTGTCTAAATCCAGGGCAAACATGGTAGCTTTGTGATTTGGGTTTAATGGAATTGTGGCCTGGTTGTCTTTTGCTGCTGGAATTGTTTCCCCGTATTTTTTTTCCTGCTCAAAATGAGACTTGGGCAATGGGCCTGCACCTCTTCTCAGCTTGACTTGCAGTTCTGACTCCTGTTCTCTGATTTAGATGGGATAAAGATGCAGCCGTGGCTCTGGACTGGCAGTCAGAGAATCTAAGCAAGGACATCACTGCTGTGGATCTGAGGAACTGGCAGGACTCCTCTGAGGCTTTGCCCAGGGAGCCTGATGATTTCAAAGCTGTGGCCCTGGACTGACAGTCCTCAGGAAAAGATGATGATGGTGCAGCTGTGGTCTTGGGCTCCTGGATGTAAAGCCCTGCTAGGGAACTTGTGGCCCTGACTTGATGTACGGACTTTGGTGCAGCTTTAGCCTGGAAGTCAGGACGTGTTTGGGATTTAGCACCAGCCTTGGGCCTATGACCCTCACTCAGTGGAATTTCTGCCTGGGCACTGAGGATCGATGGAGAAGGAGGCTTCTGATGGAGTTGTATTAGGTCCTCCATTGGATGGGCAGAGTCTGGAAAAATCTTGGGAAGGTGGTCAGGACCTGGGGAATCCACTGGGTTCAGCGAGTTGCATTGCCATGGAGACTCTGGTTGATGTTTGGGACTGAGTGGAAGTATAAGATTGTGTTTGGTGGCTGTTAATGATACCTCAGTTTTCTCGGCCCTGATTTTGGGCCTAGGTAAGGACATGACTGAGGCACCTTCACTCTTTTTAAGATGCAGTGTTGATTTACCATTGGTCTGTTGTTGAAGACAGGGCAATGGTACAGGCACCGCCCTGTGGTCAGGGTGGGGATGTTGTGCAGCTCTGATCTGATGTTTTGCCCATGGTTCAGGTTTTGATTCAGTCCCCTTGGAAGGATGAAGTGATGACTGGGTGGTTCTAGCTTGGTGGTTAAAGCGGGGCATCTGTTCCGTGGACCTTTGGTCTTCTTTCCATTTTGGTGAAATCCGATGTGGGGAACACAGTAATACTGCTGATTACGTCTATTGACAGAGGCCTTTTCGAGGGCATTGGACCAATTCTGCTAATGAAGAAGACACTGTGTGAGTGAGGGTAACCAAATGCAGTATCTACACATACTGTATATGTGAAAGGCGTCTGTGGAGTGGTAAGCAGTGGAAGGATGCTAGGACACAGCCATCCTCACATTTATTAAAGAAAATTAACAGTTTTCAAAGCACTTTCACATGTATATCAATACTTATTGGATTGAATCCACACAGAAAGCCATATGGTACTTTTAGTAAATATCATTCTCCTCATTTGACAGGTGAGGAAAGAAATCATATTTTTAAAATATATATTTTTCCTGAATCTCCATTTTATTTCAGTATTAAATTCATTTTTTATATTATCTATTATACTCTATTATCTATTATCTATTTTTTTAGAGGCACTCTGGTTTAAGTCACTTGCCCAGGGTCACACAGCTAGTAAGTGTCTGAGGTTGAATTTGAACTCAGATCCTCTTGACTCCAGGGTCGTTGTACTATCCACTATGCCACCTAGCTGCTCCTATTCATCTATTTTTAAAAGCATTTATTATCTCTTCCTCCCAAAGTCCCCGTTGTTCAACTGAACAATAAAAAAGAAAAAGGAAAACCCTCATAACAAATGTACATAGTCCAGAGAAACAAATTCCCAATTAGTCATGTCCAAAAATGTGTGTCTCGTTCTGCATTTTAAGTCCCTCATGCCTCACTGGCAGGAGGCGGGTGCCAGGAAGAAGTCACACTTAGACAATGGCACTTGCTTTTTACTCTTTCCAAAGATCTTGTGTTCCTGCCAGCAACTCTGAGTGGCAAGGTATACAAGTATTTTTATTGCCATTTCACAGATGATGAAAATGGAGGCAGAGAGAAAGATTCAGCGACTTGCTCTAAGTTGGTGATAAAATGGTCAAGGTTTCAAAACGAGGGAACCAAAATTCAGGCCACTCAAGCAACTTGACCAGGGCCATAGAGTTATTTGAGTGTCAGAAACAGGACTAGAACTCATGCCTTCTGACTTTATGCCTTGGTGAAGACAGTGAATCCTTCCACATTGTGGGGGTTAGAGGCATGGTGACACCATGATCTGGAAAATCCATATAAAATGTTTTGGCTCTCACTTTGTACCAGAGAAGAAGTCTGAATTTTTTTCTTCTTCTTTTATGGGGTGTTTACAGTACCTTATTGCAAAATTTGGATTAAGCATTTGGTCATAGATTACATGTAGGTCAATATTAAGCAGAAATACTAGCCTTTGTGTGTTGTCTGATGGCTTTTGCGTTCCTTTCCCAAATTTCAACTTTTTACTTATTTTAACTTTAAAAAAGAAATTGCATATATTTATGGTATTAAAAGATAAAGTGTTGGTATTATACAATACTATACATATATTTTATGGATTTCTGAGTATCTAAACTTTTTCTGTGTCATCTTCTGGCCTTTGCATGTCATCTGCGGATTCCACGAAACAGCAAAAAAAATTCCCATTTAATTTCTTATGCCATGATATATCAAAACTGCAATGGTGAAAATCACGATGTGGAAAAGTAATTGTAAATATTCCTTCCACTACACCAAGTTCATTCTGAGACTTGTAATAGGATTGGGATCAAATGAATTAGCACCACCAAAACCATGGTTGAGGAAAGGGGAGAGGAGTCAACATTCAAGATGACTGCAAAAAATCTAAGTACTCACCTTCGGGAAGTATTCTGGTTTTTTTCTCCATTCCTCTTTCCAATTATCTCTTTGAGAAAGCAAGCTTAAGAGAGGGATATGAAGAACTCCGGTGAAGTCTCCCCAGGGTTCTCCCCAGTTAAGAACTTTAAGAACAGGAGTATCAGATAGTCTAAAGATCCTGAAGTCTTTGCCCACTCTGTCCTGCTTTTACTTCTTGGTAGCTACAAGTGTCCCTCCAAGAAGGGGAGGCTAAAGAGGTTGGGGGTCCCAAGTAGAAATGAAATAACTCAAAGTAAAATCAACATTCTCAGAAAGATAGCATGGTACTCTGTCCTGTAAAAACTGGGTCCTAAGATGCTAAGAAAACTTATGCACTTCCTCAGATATTTGCTTTAATAGACTTGAGCCTTTGGGCATTTAACCCAGGTCCTGAGGTGGCCAGACCATCATAAAGCACCAGTTGTCCTTTGTCCACTTGCAGTCAGAGCTGCCCCACCCATCTCTAGGGGAACAGTCAGAGCTGATAGGAGTACTCAGAGAGTGATTTGTTGTTATTGTTCAGTCATTTCAGCCATATCTGACTCTTCATGACCCCATTTGGGGTGTTTTCTTGGTAAAGATGTTGGAGTAGTTTGCCATTTTCCTCTCCAACTCATTTTACAGATGAGGAAACTGAGGCAAACAGGGTTCAGTGACTTGCCCAGGGTCACACAGCTAGTAAGTGTCTGAGGCTGGATTTGAACTCAGATTCTCCTGATTCCAGGGCCAGCACTTTACCCACTTCACCATCTAGCTGATAATGGTTTTTAGTTCTTCTGCTGCTCAGTACACTAAATACAAGCAGTCTTTCCTTGATGTTACATCAGACACTATATCTGTTATTGGTTTTCTCCCTCTCTTACCCTTCTGTAGGCCCTTTGGACTCAATATTTCTTAGCAAACCCATAATAACTGAGTTTTTAGCCACAATCTCTGCCTTTATTCTTAGAGAGGAAACATTTATATGCTGGCCATGGGTAGGTCAAAGGAATTTTATAGGGTGTTTCTTGGAGCATTAGGATATGTACTAGTTACAAAAGAAAAAGCTAACCCCAGGACATGTCTTGGTAGGACATTGTATCATTACCATCCTTGCATTTCTGTTTGGAACTAATGGAACAGTCCAGTGAGAATTTTCCTCCTTTCAATTCCTCTTTGGGGAAGCTAGGTGGATAGGACAGTGCCAGGACCAGGAGTCAGGAAGACTTCTCTTTCTGAGTTCAAATTTGGCTTTACAAATTTACTAACTGTGTAACCCTAGGCAAGTCACTTAACCCTGTTTGCCTCCGTTTCCTCATCTGTAAAATGAGCTGGAGAAAGAAATGGGAAACCACTCCAGTATGTCTACCAAGAAAACCCCAAATGGGGTCAGGAAGAGTCAGATATGACTGAAATGACAGAAGAACAGCAACAGAAAATCCTTCTCTGTCACCTCCTCCTCTCTTCCCACAACTGTCTCTTGTCTTCTTCCAAGAGGCTAAGCCTGACTTGTCCTAACTAGAAAATCACTCACTTGTCACTGCCTGAACCTCAACCAACAGAAATTTAAAGACTAATCACAAATTTCCTGGGAAGTATTGGAAAAAAGACAATGTCTTGTTGGAACCTTACAATGCATCCTGACATCAGCAGATCTTATACATAACTCTGGCTCCTCTGGCAAGACGAGAAGAGTCTCTTTGGCTTTTCTTTCTGTTTTATAAAGAGCTGGTGATTTCCCTATGCCTTTTCAAGTTTTTCCTTCCTAGTCACAATATAACCTTGAAATCCACTTTGGCTCATCACCAGTCTTTCATTCAAGCTCCACTGGGTTCAACTTGTCCTTCCTATTTCCTCTATTACTGGTCCCCACTACTAAACGATGGGTTCCTTAGTTGGAAAAGTCAAGTTTGATGGCAACTGCTCAACAAGCTATCACCATAAATCTAGCGCATAGCATTATTTAGTCCATTGTGCAGTCATTGTTTTCCTCTAGAGAGCTGGTTAAACATTTGCCAACACACCACTCTCATGGAACTCGATTGTTACACACTGGTTAGCTATTCAAATAAAAACATTTGGAAAGCTGTAGAGGAAGGAAAGAGGGAAGCTCATTCTGTGTGTGAGTCTAGGAATCCTATGGGATGTGAGAATGGATGAAGAGCTGGATGTGGGTGGGAGATCCTCTAATTTCTTCTCCCAGAGAAGCTGAGACTGGTAGATCACTTGATCTCAGGAGTCCTGAGACACATATGATAGGTTAAACCAACTGGAGCTCTGCAGTAAATTAGGCCTTAGCATGGTGAGCTCCTGGAGCTATGGCTGGGGGAAGGTCCATCAGGTTGTCTAAGGAGGAGTGACCTGACCCAGGTCAGAAGCGGAGTAGGCCAAAGTTCCCATGCTGATCAGAGTGGGTCCATGCCATGAGTAGCACCTGTACTTCCAGCCTGGAAGAGTTAGGGAGACCTAATCTTTAAAAAAATAAATAAAAGAGTAGGTGAACAGGATTTGAAAGATGAAAAAACTGGTGTGTTCACCACCAGTGAAAAATCCAAAAGGTCCTAAGTTACTGTAGTTCAGAAGCTTTGTGAAGCTACACAGAAAACTCCCTTGTGTGAACTTAAGTGAACTTGGGTTTGGATTATGGAGATTTTCAATGGTAGCATGCCTAATCTTGGCTGGATTTCCCCACCCAGCCCCAAAACTGGGAACTTCTAGAATGACCTCAGGTCTATGTTTTCGGATGCTCATTTTAGACAAAAGCCTTCCCTTCCCCCCACAAAAAAAATCCAGTTGTGCCTAATGTATATGTGTGGATTCTAGATGTCCGTTATTTAATATGTAGTAATTTAGAATGGTTTTGTTACAGTCAAATTGTCCCATATTGTAATATAGATTACAAGTGGACGTATGGATATAATATACATGTCAGAGCAGCATATTATATTGTAAACCAAAAACAAAGGTTTCTTATAAATACATAGCATATAGCATCCATGTTAAGAGTTGCATACAATAGATCAAATACATAGGTTACACGTAGTAATGGAGTCTATATTAAATAATCAAGCATCAAGCATTTAAGCACCCATTTTATGCCTGACATGGTAGATATAAAATATAAAGAATGAAATAATCACTACTGTCAAGAAACTTACATTCTAATGAGAAAGACAATCAGCACATATACAGAAACATGCACAGGATAAATATAAAAATAACAAATGAAAATAAATAGAAGGTTGTTTGGGAGACAGAGTATTAGTCATCAGGGGCACCAAGAAAGGTGCCATGCAAAAGGCAGAGGAAAATTTTTTCCCTCCTCTCTTCTTCCCCTTCCCTCCCCTCCCTTTCTCTCTTCTCCCATTCTCTCCCGTCCCGCTCTCTCCTTTCCCTTTCTCTCCCATCCCCTCTCCTTCCCTCCTCTCCTCTCCTCTTCTATCTTTGAGGTGAGTGCTTGAGCTGTTATCTTGCAACAACATTATCAGAGGTGAGCACAGGACACTGCACAAACCCCACCAGTGGGCACCATCTGGCTTTGTAAAAACACAGTTGTCTCACTCATGATTCCAGTTGTATCCTGTCAATTTGGTCACTGGTGGGATGGTCTTGGCACTTTTTGGTGACCTTTCTATCACTTCTGCAACCTCAGTTACCATATCCACAGCCCTACTGATGGCCCAGAAAGAATGTTGTCTCCAGTCTTTAATTTCTGGTCAGTGTCTATAGTGGGTTTCTATTTCCTCAGGTCCTCAAGCCACAGTTGAAGTATCAGATGACAATGGGATAACTTCTGGGTTGAGCTCTCCTATACAAGCAGCCTGAGATAGTACAGGTTCACTTTTCCAATTCCTATCCTATTTACTAGGAAATCTTACTACATCATATAAAGGGATTAGGTGGCTACAATATCATCCTCAACCATTCTCCCCACATGCAACCATGTAGGGACTTTTTATAGACTAAGAGACCACCAAACCTCTCAACTGCTAAGCAATAACAGCAACTATCAATAAAATCTATTTATAAAAGCTAAAAAATAATTATAGGTCTTTAAGAGAAGAACAAGACAACTAGGTGGCACAGTAGATGGAGTGCTAGGCCTGAAGCCAGGAAAACTCATCTTCCTGAGTTCAAATCTGGTCTCAGACACTTTCTAGCTGTGTGACCCTGGGCAAGTCACTTAACCTTGTTTGCCTTGGTTGTAAATGAGCTACAGAAAGAAATGGCAACCCACTCCAGTATTTTTGTCAAGAAAACCCCAAATGGGGTCACAATGACTCAACATGACTGAAATGACTGAACAACAATAAGAAAAGAAAAATGAAATAAAAAACATAGAAACCTTACTTCAGGAAATCAAACAAGAAAAATACCCAGAAATTTGAAAACAGAGAATAAAGTTATAATGCTAGAACTCATTAAAAAAAATGAGAAATTCTAAATATAAAGCAAAAATATCATGGTCAAACTATAGAATTTCAATACCACAAAAAAAAAAATATTGCAGGCATCTGGGAAAAAGAACTTCACCTAAAAAGGAAAATCAGTCTGGATCATTCAAGCCTTCTCAGTTATGAGAAATCAAAGGAGATAATGAGAAATGATATTCAAAAAATTGAATGAGATTGGTTCGTATCTCCAAACAGTGTGCTCCATAAAAATGAACTTCATCATCAACAAAAGAGAGAGGATCTTACAGCAAAAAAGGGTGGTGGGGGAGGGAAATGGAGGAGAGTAGGGCATTTGACAAGCAAACTTATCAATGAAAGACATATTAGAAATGTAATCAAGTAAATTTGGAAATAAAAGATAAATAAATACAATCAGTACTTTTGTGTGTCTAGGTAAAGACAAAGCTATTGACCTTTGTTTTTAAAACCTTCACACTTTGAGGGGAATCAAGGAGACAAAAAGAGCATATCTATGAGCAAACTTCAAACAGGGTTAAAAGTATCAGGAGGAGAGAAGGGAGTAAATGTGAATGAATATTTCATGGGGTAGAATCTATGTCTATGTTTGATGAGGGGATGGTAAGAGAACAAGAAAAAATGAGAACAAGAAGAGAGAAAGAGGAGAGGAGAAAGAGAGGAAAGGAGAGAGAGCATAGTTCTTTTGGGTGAGTAGCAGGGAGAAAAATGATGAAGAGGATCCTGAGTCACACTCCTGCTTGGTCTAGGTTTGAAAAGGAAAGGGGAGAGGGCGGATGTTAATATCTTGCCTGGGGGACCAAGAGATAATAGCATTGAAAGACTGATGGACCCCTATGGGAAAGTGGGAGTCAGGTTCCATCCCTAGAGGGAGATCACTCTGAGTAGGTCATGATGTGTTCTCCCAAAGGATAAAGGAAGGCAACAGTGACCTTGCAATTACTTTTGATCAGACTGAGTGGGACACCAGGGTATCTCTGTTTATGGGCGGTCTCTTTCAAAACTAGCCCCCAGACCAGAGGAGGAAATGTCAGAGTGTCTGGAAGAACTCAACATCAAGGGTTTGTGGAGTAAGACACAATTTCAGAAGAATGAGGGAGCTAGATAGTGCAATAGCTAAAGCACTAGATATGGATTCAGGAAAACCTGAGTTCAATTACAGCCACAGATACTTACTAACTGCATCACCCTGGGCAAGTCATTTAACCTCTGTTTGCCTCAGTTTCTTCAATTCAGAAATGAGTATAGTAACAGCCCCTACCTGGAAGGATTGTTGTGAGGATAAAATCAGATGATATTTATAAAATGTTTAGCACAGTGCCTGACACAAAACAGGTACTATATAAGGGGCAGCTAGGTGGTGCAGTGGATAGAGCTCCAGCCTTGGAGTCAGGAGGACCTGAGTTCAAATCTGGCCTCAGACACATAACACTTACTAGCTGTGTGACATTGGGCAAGTCACTTAACCCCATTGCCTAGCAAAATTAAAAAAAAAACAGGTACGATGTAAATATTTATTCTCTTCTTCTAGTAGTCTCAGAATGAGCAAATGGTGAATGAAAGAACTTGGGATTGGCTTAAATCCATTGGCTCTGACTGAAGACCTCTTTTTTCTACTCCTTCATGAGTGTTTCTAGGAATAATGCTCCTAAGTTATCTTACCAAATTAAGTATAACAATTTTTGAAAAACTAAATTTAATTAGATTTATTCCAATTTAAAATTAAAATTAAGTATGACCTTCCAATTTCAAATGCTAGTCATCATTACAAATCTCAGAAGTCAAGTCAAATCAACAAGCATTTATTAAGAGCTTACTAGGTACCAGAAACTATGTTAAGTACTGAGAATACAAATACAAGTAGTCCCTGCTCTCAAGGAGCTTACATTCTAATGGGGGAATATGACACATACAATGAAACTGAAATAGGAATGAGGGAAGAAGTATCCAGTGCAGGCTTGGTTGAGAAAATCTGTGGAGTAAAGGGTGGAACTGGAGAAGAATGAAGACATGGCTAGCTGGGGCACTTTGCTTAAGAAGGAGGTTCTACCAGTCAGTTAGATGAAGGAGCCACAGGATTGTACTTCTAGAGTGCATAGTCCAAGGATGGAATGAATGTGTAGGATGAGAAGGCTTTGGGGCATGGTAAAGAAAGCTTGTTGAGTCTGAAGTGGGTGGGTATCTCATCCTTCAATAATCCTTTCCTGTCATTCACAGTCCATCCTTCCTTCTCTAGACAGAAGTAGATGGTCTAGTAACCAACTTCCAGATACTCTTTCTTGGGGATCTTTCTTGGGAATTTCAAAAGCCCTGCCATTCTGGGAAACTCATAAAAATCCAGACACTCCCTTACAGAATCTTCTCCAGGATGGGGCATCTTGCAACGAGCTCACAACTACGTGTGCGCTTTCAATGGCTTTCTCTTCTCAGTTTCTTTGGAAGGAAAACTCATTTAATATTTCTCACTCATGCTCAGTGAGCCTTTCTCCTTCCTGAAGAAATAGAGATTAGGAAAAGGAAGAGGTTGACACACAGAGTCTAATTCCTTGAGGACATACCACCCATGTATGCTGATTTAGTTCAGGAATTGAATTAGTATGTCTTTTATATCACTCTGTTATATCAATTGATAAGCATTTATTGTGGCAACCTTGGGTCACGCAAGTCTATTGGTGCCATTTTCCCAACAGCATGTGCTCACATTGTTTCTCTGTGTCACATTTTGGTCATTGTAACAGTATTTCAATCCTTTTCATTATTATTCTTTCTCTTATGGTGATCAGTAATTAGTCATCCTTGATGTTACTGTTGGAATTGTTTTGGGGCACCATGAACAGTGTCCATATAAGACATGAACTTAATTGATAAATGGTGTGTGTTCTGACTGCTCCACCCACTGGCCATTCCCAGTCTCTCTCCCTCTCCTTGGGCCTTCCTGTTCCCTGAGACACAACAAATATTGAAATTAGGCCAATTGGTAACCCTACAATGGCCTCTAAGTGTTCAAATGTGTGAATATGGTCTTTGTAATGCTTGTTCTAACTGATTAAATATGCTACAGCTTCTGTTTTTTCACAGGGAAACCAGACAATGGAGTAGCACAACAACTAGCCAATCAGGAGGACTTCTGAAGCCCAGGGCTGCTTGACATACCAGTGTCTCTTTGTGTAGTAGACTTTAGCTGAACTTGGAGATGCCTGCAACTGCTGAAACCACCTCAGAGAGGAAAGCAAACATCTTACTTTCTGACATATCTAAAGAGCAGCAATCTTCCTGTTTCTGATTTATTGTATTTACAGATATCTTCTCCCTAGACCCTCACTTCCCACCTGACTTCATAATTTATTGTGTTTCTCTCTTAATCCTGACTTAGCCATAAATACCTCAAAAAAACCCTAAAAACTTCAATGTGCACAAATACTTCACACTTTCTCACCCCACTTGGAACAGATGAGAATATTGTCTTACTGTTCCAGCTTGCAAGCTTCTTCTTCTCAGACAATAAACGCAGATATAATTATTGTAAACTGTGATCACACTTTGGTTCATTCCAGCTTCTCCTTTTGGACCTGGGGTTTCTTCCGTTTTAGCAGTTTACAAGGGTTTTTTTATTTTAACAAGTGAAAAGAAGATTCGATCAATGTGGCAAACTTCATTGTTGTCTTATTTTAAGAAATTGACACAGCCACCCCAACCTTCAGCAACCACCACCCTGATCAGTCAGCAGCCATCAACATAGAGACAAGACCTTCCACTGGAAAAAAGATTACAAGTTGCTGAAGGCTCAGATGATGGTTAGCATTTCTTTTAGCAAAAAAAAAAATATTTTTAATTAAGGCATATATATAACTTCTTTTTAGACAGAATACTATTGCACACTTAAGCTACAGTATAGTGTAACCATAACTTTTATATGCATTGGGAAACCAAAAAATTCATGTGACTCACTTTATTGTGATAATTCATTTTATTTTGGTGCTCTGGAACCAAATCCACAATATCTCTGAGGTATTCCTGTACACTATTTATCAGATACTATGCTAGGCACAAAAATTAAATGGTACCTCCTTCAAGCAGCTAACATTGTGTACACAGAAGTTAAAAAAAGAAAATGAAAAATAGAAAATTATTGGTTGGAGTTAGGAGAGAGGAGAAGATAGGGAAGGGTGTCCAGAAAGGCCTCAAGTAGAATTTGGCATTTAAACAGAATTTTGAAGGAAGCTAGGGATTCTGAAAGGCAGAGTTGGGAAGGGAGAGCATTCCAGGTGACTCCCACCTTTTGCAGAATCTGTCAGGCTAGAAACTTCCAGGAAACCAATCCATGGAACTGGCATGATGATGTACTGAGTCCAAAGGCTGACCCATTATAGGCCCATTGTGGACTCCTTCCTACTTATGCCGTGGCCTGCAGACCATCAAGTCTGAATCTTTGGTAACATCCCTAGAAGTATCCCTTCCTTGTTCTTCCATGGCCCATTTCATTGATGTCCTCTGTTGCTCTAGGATGGGAGTAGAGAAATAATTCTGCCTAAGTCCCATTCCCGTCTTATCTCTGGTCTCTTCATTCCATGCTTCCAGCCTTGGGTATCTCCAGTTAAGCCACATAGCCTATTCTTATGATCCGAAACATTCCAAATAAAAGTTGATTGCTTTCAGCACTGGAAAGTTCATCTAATTTTTCTATGAAACCTCCCTTTAGGTCCTGGCAAGGAACTACCTCACACCACCAGTGAAAGTATGGGCTCACCATGAAAAGGGTAGGATGGTTTTGGCTTTAGTAAAAGGTGAAGATGTCCATCTATTGTTTCCTCAGGTTTGAACAGAGTTCTAATGAAATCATGAAATCTGAAATGCTGAAATATTCAAGTATAGAATTTTAATTGCAATTGTATTTGAGGTGACGATTGGATGAGGAAGTAGGTCAGAATAAAGAGTTTTCTGGATAATATGGTGTGTTTTACCAAGCCTTACTGGGAGAATAACTTATTCACTAAATTGCTATAAAATAGGGCATGAGAGGGAGATAGAGAATGAGGCTAATCTCTTCTATGGGGAGTCATTTAGAGAAAAGTTTGCTTTTCTGGAAGCTAAAATATAGAATGAGAAGGAGGAGAAAGGATGAAGATTTTCTCTTTTCATTACATTATAAATGTCTCTAACTGGCTCTCCCTGCCCAAATTGAAAAGGAAATACAAAGGTTTTGTCCTCTCCCCGTCAAAGTACATGGAAGAACAAAGTGAGACACAAAAATCAGAAACAAGTTGCAAAGATATTCAGGGGAGTCAATTCCTTTCTGAGAGAAAATACGGTCATTTAATTCCTCCTCTGCTTTTTTTGCAACATGTCTAGTATAGATCTGAGAAATGTTCTACGTTCCTTTGATGTTGCTTCCTCTCTACCACCATCTTTTTCAATGGCTATTTCCCCCTTGTAAGGCCATTGGCTTGTAGGTAGGGTCCTTCCCTCTGGCTGGGGGTCCTTGCCAAGTATAAAGCCGAGCCATTTCCGCATGGAAGACACAGGGAGCACCAGGTCTGAGTGGGAAGATACTGTTGAATTCAATGGATGGGCTAAGGGCCCCTGCAAATCATAATAGGGGTATGGGAGAGAAAAAATGGAACATCTGGTTGCACGGCGTACTTGGAGAATAAATTTCACATTTATTTCCTCCTCAGAATCGGACACAGGCACTGGTATGACCAGCAGTTGTGCCTCACAAGGATATTTCATCCCCCAAACATGGGGACAGCCATTTGGTATCCAAGAGACACAAATTAGGCACACTGGATAATCCAGTGGGATGCCCTGGTAATAACAATGAATGGTGGACACCCTCTTCATCTTCTGCAAGATAGTCTGTCTGCAGATGTCATTTTTTATTTCATCCTGAGGGATGGAACAAATGATGTCATCAATAATTTTTTCAGGGACATCACCCCCCTCAATGGTGTATGGCTTGATATAATTTAAACGCCACAAAATTTGACTTTTTTTTCTGGAAAAGGTTTGGTGTTGAATACTAGACTGAACCTCATCTGGGTGCCCAGAGCTCAGTTCAGCCTCAGGATGGTGGTCACAAGCTATTGGAGCCTCATTTGGGTGTTTAGGACCTGATGGGGTTTTGGCCCTATATATTGGGCTTGGTGAAGCTATTTCCTCCTCATCCAGACATGGCGTTGTGCCCTTGGAGTCAGTGACATCTGATTTAGCCTCATTCTTGTTTTTAAGTCTGGTTAGAAGAACAAATGGGGACTTGGGACTAGATGAAGGTATGACCTGCCGTGGACCCACTAGCATTTTTGCTGAGTGGTATAGGTCTAATGGCGGTGTGACTTGGGTATTGGGGTCTGGGACAGCCTCTGATTGATGATCAGAGATGAATTGCAGTTCATTCTGAAAATTGAGACCAAATAGAGTTACTTCACAGAGTTCTATGTTTAGTGAAGGTATTGCCTGCTGATCCTGGCTTGGGACAGCTGTGTCTTGGTGGTCTTCTTCTGGTGGTATTGCTCCCTGTGGACCTCGTTCCAGTCGAACCTTTGAGATCTCATCACTGGCTTCTGAAACCAAGTCATCTTGGTGGTCAGTTGTCAGTGGAGGAATGACCTGGAAGTCTAGACTGAGTGGATGTGTGGCCCTGTGGTCAAGGTTAGGTAGAGCTGTATCCATTAGGTTTAGGCCCAGTGTGGGTATTACTTTGTGATCCCAGACTTCTGTAGTTGTATCCCTATTATATGTTCCAAGTGGCACTGTTTGCCAATGATGCCGTTCTTTCTGGAGTGAGACCCAAGTGTTGCTGTCCAGTGCATCCTCAGACTGTTGGTCAGCATGTAGCAGCATTGGGGTTTGGTCTTCTGGCTCAGGTAGAAATTGGAAATCTAAGCCTGGTAGAGTCACTGCTTTGTGTGATAAGTCTTCAATAGTCATGACCTGGTGGCTTATTCCCAGGGGCAACGCTTCACACTCTTGTTCATTTTGAAATATGAACACATCTTGTTCAGTTTGAAGTATGCCCTGGGCATTCGCACCTGGGGTACGGTCAAGGCTGTGTGGTATTATGACCCTTGGATTGGGACTGGCTGGAAGTGTTGTCTGGTGTTGAGGACCAGGGTGCATCAGGTTCTTAGGGTCTGTTATGCTCAGTGGAGATGTTTTCCATGCTGCCTGGCCTATGGAAGCTGGCCCCTTGTGGTCTCTTTCTGGTGGCATTATTTCCTGATGTTCTGGTTTAGCATAGACCGGGGCATCTGGACCTGGTACATCTGTACCTTTGTAGACATGACTGGGGAGAAGTGCAATCTGAGGGTCAGAACCAGGTGGATTTGTGTCCTTTTGTTCTATATCCAGTGGGGGTGTTCTCCAATGAACCTGGTCTGTTTTGTCTTGGGCTTTTATGTCTATTGAAAGTTTATACTCATGATCCTGATCCACGAGAGTTATGGCCTGGGGGCCTGGTCCTGGTGGTTTTGTTTCCCTCTGGTCTAGTTGATCTTGAGGTGTGAGCTGTTTATGACAGTTTTGTATATTTTCAGTCTGGTGGTCATCAGAGCTAGGTGAATATGTGGCTCTGCGGCCAGAGTTCAATTGAGTTAATCTCTGGGTTGAGTCTGGGTCTAGTTGAGGTGGTTCTTGGTTGTCATGGTCTGTTGGCAGTATTGTCTGTGGCTCATTTGGGTCTGATGCAGCAGGTTCAGTTTTGTATTCATTTCTACATAGAGCTATGACCTTGCATTCATAGCTGAATGGTAGTGTGGCCTTATAGTCTGACTTAGGTGGTGACATTGTTGAAGGGTCCAGGTCAACTGGATTTATGGCCAGATGGTCCAGACCCTTAGGAGTTGGTGCCTCTGGGTTCTTGTCTTGTAGAACTTCAACCTGCTGGTCCTGACTACCTATCACTGCTGTGTCCTGGTGACATACTAAGGGTAGTGCTGTCTGGACACCCAAGCCTGGAGCATGCTGTAGATGTGTGACTTGTACATCAGAGCCTGAGGAGGTGCTCTTCTGGTAGCTTGGGAAGAGCAGCGTTGTGGCGTCAAGTTGAGAGTCCTGTGCTGTCTTTCTACAGTGATCTAAATAGACTGGAATTATGATTGGTGCAACTTGGTGTTCAGAGAGTAGGGATAGTCCAGATGTGTCCTTGGCCTTGTAATCAGGGCCCAGTGGAGCCTCAGTGAAAGGTGAAGAGGTGGTTTTAGCACAGGGATCTTCCAGGCATGATGAAGAAGCTTCCAATGGCTTGAAGTCTTGTGATGGTGTAAGTGTTATACTGGCCTGATGTTTTGGACCTTGTGATGGCAAAGCTGTGGCTTTGCTGCTGGCTGTAGTCCAGTGTTGTGGGCAGGGTGGACATGCAGTTGTGGCCCTGGTTCTCCCATTCAGATTTGATAAAAGCATAGATGGATCTTTGGAACGCTTGTCAATGCATCGTAATAGTGACACTGTCTTCTTTAAGCCATGCTCAGATTGTAAAACCTTACAAGTTTTGGCCTGGACCCAATGGCCCAAGTCAGATGCCTTAAATGATATGGCCTTGGACCAATGGTCAGGACGAGGTGATGAGGGCACACCTATGGGACTGAGCTTAGTGGTTAGAACTCTGTCTTGGAGTCTGGGCCTTGACAAAGCTTCAGGTGAGAGAACTGATTTCACTGGTTTGTGTGTGGTCTTGGCTTGGTACTTGGGAAATGCTTTGGTTCCAGTTCCTTTTATGGTCCTGTTGCCCATGAATGGAAACTCAGCCTGGTGGTAAAGGAATTTTGAAGATGGGGGATGCTGGCTGAGGTGTGTTAGATCTTCAGGTAGATGGTCACAGTCAGCAAAAATCCTGGGAAGGAGGTTAGGCCCGGAAGCAGCCTCCATCCTACACCTGGAGTCCCGGGAACTCTCAAGTTGGTGTTTGGAGTCGAGCAGAGAAGGTATGAGATGCTGTTTGGCAGATGTCAGAGGGACAGCTGTTACCCTGGATCTGAAGTCAGACTTGAGTATAGTCAAGATTGAGTTGGCTGTGTGGTGTTTCCGGGGTAGGGATGCCTTAGTCACACTCTGGTAATGAAGAAAGGGTAGGGGAACAGCCTTGTGATCCATGCAGAGCATCTGTGTAGCTATGCCTGGCTGTTTGGGCCATTGAGAAGGAAGATATTTGGTCTTGTGGCAGGGATGGGCTAATGGTTGGGTGGTTCTGGCCTCATGTCTGAGGTAGGGCATCTGCTTAGCTTTGGATCGGTGTTCTTGCTCCCACAATGGTGAAATCCAGTGCGGCGGACAGGGTACCAGTGCTGGTGCTGCCTGGTTAAAGAAGGTTTTCTGAGAGAGATGGACCAAATCTGCAGCTAAAGGAGAGACCATGTGAGTGATAGCAAGGAAATATGACATAGAACAAGTACAGGAAATGCAGTTAGAAAGCCAGGATATATTCCTAGTAAATAAATACTTTTATAATTGCTCAAGTACTTTTCACATTTGCCTCATTTGATCCCACATTTGGCAAATGTCATATCAAAATTGTAATAGTAGTGATTCCCCTTTTTATTAGAAAAAAACTTGCTTTTCTGAGAGCAAGAAATGTAAGTATTATCATTCCCATTTTACAGAAGAGGGTACTGAAGTACAGAGAGGTTAAAGGTCTTGCTGAAAGGTTAGCAAATAGCAGATAGTTAGGACTCAAACCCTGGAAATTGAGATTAAGAGTGAACTTTCCTAAGGCCACATATGGAGCAAGACTTGGTTCTGAGGAACAGAGTATTAGGTGCACAGGGATGAGGAGCAGTGCAAGGAGAGGTGGAACAAAAGTAGAGAGGGGACAGTTCCCATAGGAGATTATCGAAAGCCAAAATTCTTACCATTAGAAAATAATCCATGCCGTCTTTTCCCCATCTGGTGTCTATAGGATTTCCTTGGGGAAAAAAATGCTAACAATAAGTACTACTAGTTTTGATTCCACTAAGCCCCAAAGAAAGGCTCCCAAAAGGCTAATAGTGAAATGACTCTGTAACAGCCAGAGGACTGCCCTTATAGCCAGGCTCTTGTTGCCTGAGATAACTTTTTTAAAAACATTTTTTCTGCTTGTTTCTAATTCCCTCACAGTTGTTCAATTGTTTCAGTTGCATCCAACTCTTTATCACCCATTTGGGATTTTCTTGGCAAAGATAGTGGAGTGGTTTGCCATTTCCTTCTCCAGCTCATTTTTACAGATGAGGAAATTGAGGCAAACACAGTGTTGTTACTTGCCCAAGATCACACACCTAGTAAATGTCCGAGGCCAGATTTTTAACTCAGAAAGATGAGTTTTCCTGACTCCACACCCATACTCTGTGCACTATGGCGCCACCTAGTTGCCTTTCTCTAGCAAGGGAATCGTTACAGTCTCGCCTTACCATAGGTGAGACTCAGAACGTCGCCTCTGGACTTCCCCTTTCTCCACTCTGAGTTCCATCATTCATTTTACATCTTTTTGGCTATCACTTTTATGAAAGCCTACTTTAAAGAAAGGAATGGAGAAACGCATTAACATGGAGATGTTGACTAAATACGGACTTGCCCTTCTTGGGGCATTTTAGCAGGACTGTTTCCTTAAACTAAAATCTGTCCCAAGCATAGTACAGTGACTCCGGAGTCAGGAGGACCTGAGTTTAAATCCTGCCTCATACACTTATTAGTTCTATAACCTGGCAAGTTACCTGATTCATGGTGCCTCAGTTTCCTTCATCTGTAAAATGGGGATAATAATAGTACCCACACCACATGGGATTATTGTAAGGATTAAGCAAGATAACAGTATAGGCAAAAGAGCTATTATGTAAATACTATTATTATTAAGAGATTTTCTAATATCATTCTGTCAGTGCAGGGGGTATTTCTTTCATGGAAGTTATCTTTTCCAGTCTCCTTGAAAAACAAGTTCCCTAAGACATTCTTTGATTTTGTAAAATTTTTTGTAATCTGTTGCTTTTGTCATTTGTAATTTTTGTAATGGATTATGTAAAAAGATGCTACAAGTTCTTCTTAGACTCAATCCCCAAATATACCCACACACACATACACACATATGCACACATACATACACACATATGTACGTATAAAGCAGGGGCAGCTAGGTGATGCACTAGACAGAGCACCGGGTTCGTTATCTGGAAGATTCAATTCATGAGTTCAAATCTGGACTCATGCACTTATTAGTTGTGTGACTCTGGGCAAGTCACTTAACCCTGTTTGCCTCAGTTCTTTATCTGCAAGATAAGCTGGAGAAGGAAATGGCAAACCTCTCCAGTATCTTTGCCATGAAAACCCCAAATGGGGTCATGAAGAGTCAGATATGACTGAAATGACTAAATAACTGAATATGTAAAGCATACATGTATATATTCTTTATTCCCTGGTAATAAAATTTTGAGATCATATAAAATTTCATGATATTATCTCAGGAAATTAGAAATAGACTGTATTAATAAGCTGAGAAATACTACCTAGATCACCTCTTAGACTTCTTCTGACCCTGCTTTTCCTCCTTTTCTTTCACAGGGATTCATCTAGGTGACATACCACATTGCCTTGTTGAAGAGTATGATAAAAATGCAATCTAAGAACTTTCCTTGGATTTTCAGCAAATAAGAGTATGCCATCTCCAATTCTCATTTTAAGAGAAGCTCTAAGATGAGGTTCTTTGATTTTTTGTGTGTGTGGTTTTTTTTTTGGGGGGGTTCTTTCATTTTAAATCAAATGAGCTTGAGTGTGCCTAGGAGGGATACTAGTAGTTTATCTCACAATCTGTCTTACCAGAAGGAATCACAAGATGATCAGGAACTTAAAGTATCTCAAATGTTCCAAAATCAAGACACTGAAACAATATCAGTTCCAAATGGCTTCAGTTCAAAGTTTTCCTAATCACCTGAGATGAAGCGAATGCATCTCCAGTAGAAACAAAATAAATGAGAAAGTAGATCTTCTAAGAGGATTTTGTCCTGGGAGGTGGAGAAAACCCAGTCGGCTCTCTCAAATGTACCTAGAGCAAGACTGATTTCTGTCATTCTGACCCAGACCTGAGTTCCCTTCACATCATAGAACAAGCTGGAAATGTTTACCTAGGCCCATTTCATGTAAGAGAGCCTTAAGAGAAGATCCTTTCCGTAGGGACTCTCCTGATAAACAGAACACAAACAGCCTGGGCTTGTAACTACATTAAAAATGGAATTCCCTAATTCTCACAGTGTTAGAGCTAGAGAGGACCTCTTGGAAGTCATCTACCCTTTATTTTACAGATTAGGAAACTGAGATCCAAAGATATGAGATGATATGCCCAAGATGGTGTAGGAATAGTGGGTATAGCTGAAGTCAACAGTGTGTTAGAGCCAACTCTTTATTGGCTCTCAAAAGCCAACTTAAAATTTTCAATATGAATATTCATTTACACCTCAGAAATCGGCAAAAATTATAGATCAAGACTCAATTAATTGTTTTCATGACTGTCTTTAAAAAATGTTAGTGAAAAGCATGTCATAAATAATTTTTTTTCCTAGATAGGTGGTTGTTAAACATTCACCATTGGCTGATGTCCTCTGACTCCAAAGTCAATGCCCACTTGTTCCATGTACCTGACCCCTGCCAACTATTTGTTTCTTGATACTCTTTGAAAACAGAACCCAATATTCCTTTTGACAATCACAAGACTAAGTTTTTGTCCCTCTTGAGTTCATTTCTGCTGGACAGGGAGGATAGGCAATGCCTCTTTTTCCATTATTGCATCTTCTGTATAGCACCGTGCCTCAAAAGTAGGCACTCAGGTATTTTTTTACATGAAGGAAATAATTTATAGCAAGTTTTCTCATTCTATGAGAAATAAACATTTTCTTCTTTGATCTTGGGCCCTGAGGGAGTGGCTCAAAAGAAAATTTTCTCTCTGGACTTGTCAAGATAATAATGCATTTGTGTTTGCATTAGAAATCCACCAAGAAAGATCACTGGGGCTAATTATAAAAGTTCCTAAGCAGGAATATTGAAAGTGGTAATCACTTGGAGGAGTCCCCATATCTCCGCAGCCTCTCCACCAACAATAGACCCAAGAATACTTGTCTTGACACTGACTCATTACAACAGCTTTCTGCAATGTAAACACTTTCAGCAAAAGACCAAACAGACATGGAGAAATTCAGTCAAGCAAATAGCCCACTGTGGTTGCAAGATCAAACATCAGAATAAATACTATCTTACGTGTCCAGGGTCTTAGAATTCTCATTAGTCAACATCAGCCTCTGGGAAATCCAGAAGCGCTTAACAGTGGAAATTTGACATAAAGAATTTCATTATTTCTCTTTCTGTTTTTTTAATAAACACTTCTTGCTGTTTGTTCTTTGTTCTTGAAGAGGACCAATGACATCACAAGGGTGATGTCTTGACTTGAATGTGAATTGGATTTAAGTGAGGCAAAGTTGTCAGCCCCACTCTCTCCTTCAGAGTCATTGAGTCCAGCGGCAAGACAAAAGTCAAAACAACTGGCAGTGGCCCAAAATGCAGTAGATGACCTTGGCCTTTCGAAATTTTAAGGTCTTCTCTTTTTAGTTAGGCAGTAGGGTTAAGCGACTTGCCCAGGGTCACACAGCCAGTAAGTAGGAAGTGTCTGAGCCAGGATTTAAACTCAGATCCTCCTGACTCCAGAGCTGGTACTCTGTTCACCACACCACTTAGCTTCCCCTTTTTTAAGATCTTTTCTCTGGGTTCAGTTTGTCTAGGGCAACACCCATTCAATGACTAAGGGCTAGATAAGAATTGAGATAAAAGATGGCCTAACTTACCATTACAAAAATATCAGTCTGAGAGGGGAAGACCTCTCAGAGCTTCAGGCCAGAACAGAAAACAATCGCTATTTACACTTATTCTAAACCATCAAAACCTGGGAGCTATTATTGTCCATTCTACAAAAACCAGAATGATTTGGGTTTAAAAAATAGTCAAAGGACAGCTAGGTGGTGTAGTGGATAGACCACCAGGCCTGGAGTCAGGAGGACCTGGGTTTAAATCCTGGCTAGGTACTTACTAGCTGTGTGACCCTGGGCAAGTCATTTAACCTCTGCCTCACAGAAAGAAAGAAAGAAAGAAAGAAAGAAAGAAAGAAAGAAAGAAAGAAAGAAAGAAAGAAAGAAAGAAAGAAAGAAAGAAAGGTAGTCAAGTCACTCTGTTTGAAACACAATGAGCTTTTAAAGCTTGTTTTTTCAGAGCTATATTTTAAGAAATCATAAATTAAAACTACATAGGACAAAATTGTCCCAGCTTTTTGAAAAAAAAAGTTTAAAAAATAAACACTGAACAAGTGAATGAATTTTCCACAATCTTAATGCATATGGAAATAGTAAACACCCTCATTTTTTCAGTTTTACTTCCCACAGGTTTATTTCATTTTATAATCTAGTTTATCATCATCATCCCCTCCATTCCATTTACACTCCCTCTCTCCCTTAAAAAAGTTTCAAAAAGCTGTTGTATTTTTTTTATCTTGGACACATTGAATTAAACTGAAGCCACGTATTTATGATTATTTATTATTAATGGGCAGCTAGGTGGCATGGTGGATAGAGTGCTGGGCCTGGAGTCAGGAAGACCTGAGTTCAAATCCATCTTCAGACTCTAGTTATGTGACCCTGGGCAAGTCATTTAAAACTGTGTGCCTTAGTTTCCTTATTGTAAAATGAGCTGGAGAAAGAAATGGCAAACCACTCCAGCATCTTTGCTAAGACAGTCCCAAATGGGGTCACAACGAGCTGGACGCAGCTGAAACATCTGAACAATACATATTTATTGATTGCCTATGATGATCCAGGTGCTGTGCTGGGCAATGGAAAAAACAAGGACAAAGAAAGAAACAGTTTCTACTTGCAAAGAGCTTACATTCTACAGCAAGTGCAAAAAGAGTATGTACAACACAAATAGAAAGTGACTACATACAAAGTAGTTTGGGAGGGATTAATGGTCTAGGTCACCTAGTTCTCTCCAGAGCCTCCCAATACACAATCTCCTGGTTTCCCAGCTTTTTCCCTTTATAGGGTCTGATTCATCTGCTCCTCTTGTCCAGTTTTCCAAGGAAGCCAGAAGAGAGAGGCAGCTCCAAGGAAATCCAACCTGAGGCCTGCTTCTGGGGTGACTTAAAGGCTGTTCTCACTATTGAGCACAGACCCTCAAAGATCTCTCATTTCCCCCTCTTTTGGACTCAAGAAAATATCTCTATCACATTTGTCTCTAGAGACGATGCCTTCCCCCAACCTCCATAGCTGCCACAAAACTTCTCACCACTAAGAACTTCAAGTATAGGAAATAGGATATATATCACATACTCTGATGATCAGCAGTCTCAGCCAGTTCAATTCCAGCTGGTGGATCTTTGTGGTTACAAATTTCTCCAAAAG